AAGAGATAATAATCAGTTAATGGCTGAATACTGTTCAAAGTTCTTTTCTAGCATTAAAAGTGTTATTTTTCCAAGGGAAGAGAACAAGAATCTTTGTGACCTTTTGAGTGAGCACCCATTTTTTAAAACTGATTGTTGTTTGAATCAAAAGAAAAACTGTATGGAGTACCAATCCACAAACTTGTTCAGAACTGCCCATTACACTAATGGCAGTGACACCGATGCAAAGATGTAAGAACTCCCTCTCATATTTCTTATGTTTATATCTTGTCAAGGTGCCTGTCATGTCTGCTATAAATTGAAACTTACAAACTCCTCAATTCACACATCCCACATTGTACACATAGAGCAAATGTAGAAGGAACAGCAATTAGACTGAAAGCTCAGCTCAGCTCTAAAGTCATAAGTATGCTTTAAACAAGAGCATTTTTCTCAATGCACTTTCTGCATCGATGAATCCATCAGTTTATTGCTTATATAGTTGAGTGAATAGGTTTCCCCTTTCTTATACAACAAGGCTCACATGAAACAATTTTTCAGCAATTAAAAGCAAGCAAAACAAAGCTGGATATAATTCACTGCTGTAAAATAAAATCAAAAAGCATCTGTTGGAGAAGATAGTTCTATAGACAGTCACAACAGAAAGACTCTGCTTCATATAATCACTAACCAAGTGCTGTGTGTGTGTATGTGGGTTTTGGGAGGAGAGAGATGGGACACAAAACCAGACCTCTGACCATGACTTGAACAGTGACATTTAATGTGTTTTTGATGACCCCGATCTACCTGAAAGTTTTAGTACAGATCGTTAAGGGAACTAATCAGAAAGGTGTTTCAAGCTAGGATAGCCACTTGAATGTCATTAAAAAAGACAGCATGGACTCTCATGAAATATCTATATATTGACATATATGTATAAATTGAAATGTACAAATCTATAAATTTATGGACACATGATCTTATTGTGGAAGAAAGGACTGATCAAGCGACCATATCTGCTCAGTCTGATGTTTAGATGCCAAATGGCAATAGGCTACTTGAAAGCTCTTGACTTCCCTTCTTATGATTCTCTATCTTAAAAGTGAATATTTACAAATAGAGGGCATTCCCAGATCATGTGCTTTCTTCAGAATGCAGTCCTCCTATTTTTTAACTGCTACATCCAATATAAATGGTAAGGCGTATGCCTTGAAATCATTTCCACTTCATGGCAATCCAAAGGTAAACCTATGATATGATGCATTTACATTATGGAATTTATGCAGTTTAACAGTACTTTAACTGCCATGGTTTGGTGCCATGGAATCATAGGGGGTGTTCTCCATTTTGGGGCTTCACCAAACTACAAATTCCAGGATTCCATGGCATTCATTCATGACAGTTAAAATAACATCCATTGCTCTATTAATTCTACAGTGTAGCTGCACCCATGGTGGTTTTCTAGGCAAAATTTGTTCCGAAGGGGTTTGCCATGACCTTTCCTGAGGTCAACTTTCACAATATGAGTTTCTGGGGCCAAGTGAAAGTTTGAACCTTATCTCAAAGACCTAGTCCAGCACTCAAAACATTACACCATGCTGGCTTTCAAATGCTAAATAATGCTTTATTTTCTGAATCTATCAAATGATTGATTGACCGATTGCAGTTATATAGGAGGAAAGGGTCTCCCATGAGGGCATCATGGGAGATCTGTCTGTCTTCATCTCCTGGTCACTTAAGGAGCAGCTGCTCCAATGCTCCTTTCCCTCTTTTCGTCCCATTACTTTTCATTTGTGTCATTTCTGTTTCATTCTTGAGCCAAAAGGCAGAAGTTGTCCTGTCATTTAATATCTGTACAATATTGTTGTATGCTATATAAATTATGTTATTAATGGGAGAGATAAAATTTGAACCATGGTGATCAGCATCTGCTGGCTTAGGTGGTCTTTGAGACTGGAGCTTCAGTGTTGTTTTTCTTAGGGTGTCTTAGCTTATTTCCCTGCAATATGATATTAATTAGATCCTGGTTGTCTTGTAAGAAACTTTGCAGATGTAGTGTTGGTGATGGTAGGGAACTATATAATTTCCTGAATATCCTCTTGTAGACTTGATTGAGGCTGGTGATACCTAAGTTGAAACCAGTCTCATGAGTTGTCCCCTGTCTTGGTGTGTTCCAGTTTCTTCTTTGTGTACTGCATTTATTATAGTAGTTCACTCACTCCTATTCTGTACATTGATACTTAGGCAGCCTGATGAATGGCAGAGCTTGCCATATGTTTTCACTGACTAACCATAAATAATGTATCATTCTGTTTTTGCACTGTTAAAGATGGAATAAACTCAGCATCTGCACACAAAAAAGGAGCAGGGAGACGTGAAACAGTACTCTGATTCTTTAGAAAGCAAATATGAATCTGTGAACAGTTTTATAGAATATTATAATATTAAGCACAGACTTGGGCAGGAATAAGATCTAAAAGGAGGAATTGATCAAAAAATGAGTGGCTTATGAAACTATACTTATTGCTGGGCTTTTAAAAAAGAATAACAAAATTACACACACTTTATCAATAAGATGGATTAAGCTGATTAAAACTGGATGGGACATCGAATCCTTAAGAATGCAAGAAACATGCTGGGTTTGTGTTTTGGGGAGATATACCTAGTCCAGATTTCTGTTTATTAGTCAAGAGTCTCAAGTCATGGAGGAAATGACCCTTCCCCTGGTGTATCCACTTCCTTAGACAAAGGGTATTTAAAATGACTTTACTATATATGAAATTCCATTTAGTCGTCATCGTTATTGACATTAATGGTCTAGATCAGGCATGGGCAAACTTTGGCCCTCCAAGTGTTTTGGACTTCAACTCTCACAATTCCGAACAGTCTCCTGGCTATTAGGAATTGTGGGAGTTGAAGTCCAAAATACTTAGAGGGCGAAAGTTTCCCTATGCCTGATCTATAGTATGGGAAAATTCCATTTGGCTGTTTGTCCCAGAATCCTTCAGCCTATAGTCAATGGTTGTGCAATTGTAGTTCAAAAGGGGAACTTTCTCAAGGTTTGGATGGGGTTATCCTCTATGATTTTCTACAGTCCAATACTGTAACAGTCAGCATTCATATCGAAGACTCCCAGAAATCCCAAAATTGTGGGAGTTGAAGTCCAAAATGCCTGGAAGACTGAAGTTTGCCCATACCTGAGGTAGACAGTCAATAGTCATGGTAATCGGTTGAGTGGCAATCAGGAAAAAAAATAGAGAGTGACCCTGTCTTTGTGGTAGAAGAATGTATACTTTGCATTTAAAGAATCCCTGGTTCATTCCCTGCTATTTTCATAGTTGGAAGGACCAGTAGCTACTCAGAGCATAATACAGTTTAGAGCACTTTCATACCACTGTCACGATTCTATCTAATCTATTAGAAAACTCTTTTATGATAGTTCAGGGGAGTACATTAAGTCCTCTAACAGAGCATATTGGGCCCCTTATCAAATCCATCCATGATAGTTAAAGTGGTATCAGATTGCTTTAAGATCGTAGTATAGATATACTCCCAATAGGTGGGATGTTACATTTCTCTATGAATGAAGTCCCACTTATTGAGAGAAGGGCAACCAAAATGATCAAAGGTTTGAAGGCTTAGAAATGTTTAGCTGGAAGAGGTTGAATGGAGACATGATAGCCATGGTTAAATATTTGAAAGGATTGAGGAAGGGGCAAGCTTGCTTCTTGCTGCTCAGGAGGCTAGGAAACTGAGGCCCCTTCCACACAGCTGAATAAAATTCCACAATATCTGCTTTGAACTGGAATATATTGTAGTGTGAACTCAGATAATCCAGTTCAAAGCAGATATTGTGGGATTTTCTGTCCTAATATTCTGGGTTTTATGGCTGTGTGGAAGAGACCTGAGCAATGGATTCAAATTCCAAAAAAGGTGTTCTACATAAACATTAGGAAGAACTTCCTGACAGTAAATGCTGTTTCACAGTGGAATGTGCTGCCTGGGAGTTTTCTTCTCTGGGCGGTCTTTAAGAAAAACACTGGATGTTCATCTTCCAGGAGTGTTGTGATTGGGGTGTTACTTCATGGCAGGTACTCGGATCTTCCATTATTCTATGATTCTATCATCATATGGAGTGAGAAAGATTCCAGTATGAAACCTATCCCAGATCTCTTTGGATCTTTTAAAGTGGCTAGCGGGCTAGTGGTGTAGGCTGATCTTACGGGATTTACAAATTAGTTCATTGAATTTTACATTCAAGTGTATATGTCATTGGAGCATAAATGAGATGCCATTTGAAAATGTGTATCTCTGCCCAATGCAAAAGCCAGAATCAATAAAGAAACAGTAGAAAATATCTAGTCTGTAAATCAGGTTCAGGTCTATACGGATGGATAAACAAAATGCTAAGGTTGCTGGTAAATGTGGACACTTTGTTCTGTGTATTTTAATATGTATTTTATAGAAATACATTTTTTAACTTTTATAGAATGTTTACAATAATTATGTGTTTTAATCTATGTTGTAACTTTCCTCAAACCATGAGGAGAGGCAGGTAAGAAATAAAATTGTTATCATCATCATTATCATCATTGTTGTCAACATCATCAGAGGCTGAGGAAGTAGTAAGCAGATACCAGAGAAAGAAATATCAGTTATTTTTATTGCAGATCTGTTTTGTTCTACTTTGTGGCGTTTTGGGGAGTTCTGGTCAAATAATATACTTAAAGAGCTATAAGATCTGAACACGCACAAAACATTGCAAGAAATCCAAATTGTATATCCAGTTAAGGGTTGGAGGTTGTTATGTGTCTGTGTGCAATGTCTCATTTAAATGCCCACTTGCAGGGATGGAATTTATTACCTTTTCTATTTAGGCATTAAATATTGGAGGAAGGAAAAAGATTGAAGAAAACGAAGTAAGGTTATGTTTAAGTGGCTTGACATGAAACAAAAGGTTTTTTAAGGCATCGTGTATCCTCTAACACTGAGAAACCTACCCCTTTAAATCATTTATGCAGGTACAGAAGGCCTAGGATTTAGCATCACTTCACGAGACGTTCCCATTGGGGGCTCAGCTCCAATTTATGTGAAAAACATCCTTCCAAGAGGTGCAGCTATTCAAGATGGAAGATTAAAGGCTGGAGACCGGCTCATTGAGGTGATGAAGTGTTGCAGTGCTGCTTTGGCTTCTATTTTGTCCTCTCAGCAGACAACTTCCCTCTATTTGAAGTGCATAGCATTTTAGAGATACTTTCCCCCCATTTCATTTACAGTTTTCCAGACATTGCCTTCTCAACAGTATGGGGTAAACACACAGCGCTATACAAATGGCAATCAAGTCCATCTGAAATTTGAGGTTTAATATTTTTAGTGGATGGTATTTTTCATAGGTACCAAAATTTTAAGAAGCAAACATCCTATGGGAAAATAGAATATGGTAGTCATTTCATGAGATGGAACTTAAGTAAATGGTTGCATTCATTTTAACTTTTTGTCTGAGCAATAATTATTAGGATGTGAAAGAATAAAAATACAGAAAGCTATTAATCTCCCCTAAGAAAATGGTGATGGGGAAAATCTAAGGCAGCAGGATGTTGTTATTAGTGTAATTTTATGCAATAATATTGCTAAGAGGGTTGTTTGGGTTTCTTAGTTTGCATGCATACACTGATGTTTCAATTTCTTTGAAGTTTATTTTAGAATCTAATTAGTTTATAAATGGTTTGAATTAAGATAGCTACAATATACTTTGAGAAATTTCTACCTTTCATTTAGTGAGATGTTCTCTGCTTTAACTCCATCCAAGCCTCCCTTGTGGGAATACATATGCAGTCAAAACAAAGGAGGTCTGTGTGGCAATTCTTTTGGAATGTGTAGATAAGAAATTGCAATCTAGAAATGAGAAAATGAGCAAATGAGAAATAAGGGAGAATAAAATGTAAACAATGATCAGGAGGGGAAGAAGGGAGTGGTGCTCATGTGTTAATGAAAAATAAGTTATTTCCCCTTGATCTGTGAAAGAACCTTTCCCCAAATCTTGGGAAATGAGATCATAATTGCTTCAAATTTTATTATTATTCACATCCAGTTACTGGCTTTATTGAACATAACCAGTGTATTTCTTTATTCAATGGGACCAATTATAAATGAATACTGAAAACAAAACCACAATTTAAGTTCATTTTTATACAGCAGCAACTGCCATAATTCAAATTATATAGGAATTTGCATATATATCCAAAGTCCCAAAATTCCATACATCCAAGACAAGTGATTTTTAGGTGCCATAGTCTAAGGGGCTTTACAGTTGAACACTAACAACTTGAATTGTTCATGAAATGGATGCAGAGTCAGTATGGCCCCCTTTGCATTGGCAAGATGGAATCCCATGTTTTTCCAACATGCCAGGCCAATTTGTTTTACTCTTTCCTTTCTGCTCTTCACACATGCTCAGGAAGTGATTCTGGAGGTTGCTGTGTACCTTGCCTCTTGTGCAGAAGCAGACACAGCTGTAGTAGAACACAATTGGCACTGGATGTTTGCCATTTTTTCTGTTGGAAACAGATAGGGCAAGTTACAAATAAATTATTATTATTATTATTATTATTAATAATAATAATAATAACAGTAATAGTCCCATTCTTTCTCAGGTTAGGCTTTATTACATTGTTTTACTGAAGACGCACTACTGCCACCCAACACTGATATCTGTTTTTCTCCTTCATCATCTTCCCAATGGCCATGCTGCAGCTTGCAATTAGACAAAGTGGGGTTAACTGGCTGGGAAGCCTCTAAAAAGACTTTGGAAAAAAGATGCTTCTTTGACAGAGGATTTGTTAACTAAGGTGTGGCTGTAACTGCAATATCCATGAGGCCTGAGAAGGAAGTATGTGTCATATTGTAATCATCTAGCCTAGAGGCTCTTATATATCACCTCTTTTTCAGAGGACTATCATATCTAGAAGATTTGTGCAACACAGAGAGAGCTGTTAAATATACAAATGGTCACAAAATACAAAGCATGAAAGAATTCAAGAGCTTACTCTTCATGATGCCGTGCCACATTATTTTTGCTCCATCAGAGCAAAAAGACTGCTTCTCTGGAAATTATCTGACTGTTCCCTCGAATGATACTCCCTAATACTTATTAGCATAATTGAAGAACATTGTTCCCTGAAAAACAAATAGAAGAATGATACATGAGTTAGGTACTTAAGCTGATGTGCCTATTTTTTCTACTTTCCTCACAGAATAATAGAAGCGTAAGAAGAGAAAAATCTTTACTAAATCTAATTTGTGATCTCATTGTAGTGGGATAAGGGAGGCAGAAGAAGAACATGGTGCTAAAAGGCTGTGTGTGTGCTAAGAGCATTATCATAATTAATATCGTGCAAAGCCTTCTCCTTTTTTCTTAGTGGGCAAACTTCCTGTGTTTTAACTCTTCTGTGTTATGCCCCATTGCTTTAGTAATTTCTAAGGAGGGATCAGAAATGGCAGCCCTCCTCCCTTATTTTTCTATTTAAGAATATTTAAGTACAAAGTGGCAACTCCATTTACACATTTTCTTAGTATTTTCACTATGGATTTTGTACTGCTCCAGAGAGTCTGCCACTTTGGCTTAAAATATACAAGGAGAAAAATACCCATGGTGGTCCCTAATGCACTCTCCTAATATTGTTGTCACACTACAAGCTCACGATGCTTTTCCTACATCATTTGCAGCACTTGGAAAGTTTAAGGGCTAAAATGAACCATGGGAGTAATTCTTCTCAACATCCCTTCTTGATGTGCCCGTTTGGGTTCTTTAAAAACTTCCATGATGGAAAAGTCACTGTATCCCCATGCAACAAAGCTAGTGCTGCTATTAAAAACGTCTATTTTATTCATTCTCATCTCTGGTATTATCCCTTTAAAGCTGTTTGTCTATTGAACTATTTTACTACTTAATTGAAAAAATACCTCTTTTGTCAATTATTTTGATGAGGAAAATCCCACCACTAACTCAGGTGTGAGGAATGTTTGGCTCTCCAGATGTTTTTAACTATAACTCTTTGGCTACTAGTGACCATGTTGGGTGAAAGAGATTAAAGTTGTAGCACATCTGGAAAACCAAATGTTCTCTATTTCTGATTTCTTCCATTGCTCTCTTCTGCCCTTGTACAGTTTTGATACGTTTGTCAAACTCTTAAGAGTCATAGAATAATGGCCAGTACTGAATTAGGGCAGATATCACCAGGGAAGGTTAAAAACAGTTCTGATTCCATTGCATAGTTCATCAAGGAAGTTGAGGGCAGAGGTGTTGAGCAATATGGCAAGTTGGAATTGTAATTGTCAATCAGGAGCTCCAAGATGCTGCTGGAGGTGAGCCCTTCTTCATCAGATTTTTTGCTACTTCAGTAGCTAACTTCATGAGAAGAAAAGGACCATAGAAACATGGCAACAGAAGAAATCTTTCAATTTGAAGACAGATGTGGAAATCTCAGTAAAGACATAAAATATTGATCCACATTTCCAAATTCATCTTGACTATAGCAGAAATGCCCATGAGATAACTGTGATGCTGACCATTGGCATTTACTGGATAATGATAGACTCATCTATTTGTTGTGTGCTGCTTAACCCTAACTCTTGCTGATATTTTTTCCATTCTGTTTCATATGACTAAATACCCATTGCTTTTACAATATTTATTTCATTGGTCTTCTTTTTATCTTTTGTCTTGTTGTTCCTTATTCACTTCCACACCAAGACAGAGATCAGCTTAGTCTGACAGGACTTGTCTTAGTTTGTTGAGCACTGAAACCAAAGCAAGTGACTCTTTGTAATTTTCTGGACTTTCTGTAGCAGCAGCAAGAGCAGACATCCATATCTGTCTCTTTCCCCAATCTCCTGGGACATCAATGAATTCTCAAAGATAAATGCTCAGATTTTCTTTCTTCTTCAGCCACTTCCTTTAGCTTTTTATGAGACACATTCCATTAACTTCTGCTGGCTTTAGTTTACTCAGAGTTCCTTTGTGCTTTGCTACTGACTGGCCAACCTGACCTCTCATTGCATATGAAAAGCCCATTGATGTTTTCCATCAAGCCAGGTTATTTTTCCTTTCCCAGTCAACAGTGCGTTCAAACTGACTATATCCTCCAAGGCTTTGCATGATCCTTGGTGTACTTTGAAATGTTTCAGGCAAACAAGCACAGCTGTCCTGGCATCTGACAATTACTGGAGATTTTGAGAGGGTTGTGTTTTGTTTTCTCAATTAAGGTGTTTTCCCCTTCCCCTTGTTGCTATCTAGATGTGTCTTGGGGTTTTTGTTACATTTGGAAGTTGTCATTTTACTTTTATGTGTGATTATTTCTTTAAAAATATTATTAGTTAGTCCATAGCCATTTGGCTCATTAAGCCGAAAAACAAATGGTTGTCTTTCTACAGCCCATCCCAAATCAAAGAGAATAGCACCCAAAGCTTGCCAGATTATATAGGCAGCTGAGACAGAAAATCTCTTAAGCCCCTCTCCTCATTTCTGGAAATTGTAAATTCCTTTAAAAATAATTTCCCAGTCTTTACAATACCCTCATATCTGCTGCGTGAGGTGGTCACTTCACTCTACCTAATAATAGGACTGACCTTGAGCAAAAGCAAGCAGTTCATTGCTCCTTTCATATGTTCTTGCTACTACCTCTGAATGAGCATCCTTTAACAGGCATCCTTCAATGAGCGCCCCTTAACAGGAACACCAACATACAGAATACTCCAAAAGCCCAAACTGGATTTCTGAAAGAGTGGCATATTTGCTTTGTGAAGTTCCAGTATACACATACTTTGTTTCATGCACACAATTATAAAAAATATTATGTATAAAATTACCTCAGGCCTATGTGTTTAAGGTGTATATAAAACAAATGAATGTTGTGTTAAGACTTGGACCCCATCTCCAAGATATCTCAATACATACATTTATGCAAATGGAGATATTCCAAAATTCAGAGCACTTCTGTTTCCTAAGCATTTCGGATAAGAGATACGCAATCAATATAGCAACATAGTAGTCAATAAAAGCATATCACAGTGACATACTGAACTATGCTACTAGGAAAACTCACCACCCAACCCAACCATTATGTTTACTTCCTGTTGGTGAGAGTGCAGACAGGACACAAAGAGACAGAACAAACTCAGTTTGCCAAAATGCTCTTTCTATTTGTTCTATGTCTTTCCCCCCTTTATCAAAAAATAAATCTATTAAGAAGGCAAAGATGGGATAGATTTACAATCCCTTTCAATTGGTAGTGCTAGTAACTGTCTGTCCACAATAACCTGTATTTTTGTCGTCTGTCTCAGAGATAAAGCTTGTGTCTAATAACTTTTAGAGACAATTTGTTCTTATCATGCACATGAGGAAAGTAGCTGATTGCCAGTTTGCCCAAGGGTAAAAGATTAGACAGAGCAGTAGAAAAGAAAGCAAGGGACACCAGGAGAGTTTGTTGAACATCTGGGATCATATTAGTGTACTATGCTCACCTAACATCATTGGCTTAGGCAGTGGCAGAAGGAAGACAGAGAATTGAGTGTAGCAGCCATGAAAGAACTAACACATTGGAGAGATTTTGACTCTCTTCTTTTGTCACTGCTAGGTGACCATGGATTAAATACATTTGGTGGTTCAATGTACCAGTGGGATTCTGGCCTTCCAACAGGGGTGGGAAATGTGCAGTTTGCTGATGAAATATGATTCCTGGATCCCATTTTTATAGTCCCATGAAGCCTCCCTTCAATTCACCCAAAATCCCAGATACCCACATTGCACTGAAATGTGTGAAAACTCCCAATTACTTCTAATCACCATTTTGGCTGGGATGAAGAAGGCATTTTTGCTGTGCTCCTTAGGACTATATGTGCAGATAGTGGGTGTTTCTTTTTTCTGGTGTGTGTGTATTACATCTCAGCCTCCCTGCAGTTGACCACACTCGCTCAGATGTGACATTGATGTACACATTGACTATTTGCTCAATAGAAAAGTGACCTCACCACCATCATGAAAGTAATTGATTTCAGCTGCAGACTAATCCCATCCATGCTTAAGTCAAACTGATTGGAATTGGACTTGCTCCCAAATAAAGTGCCTAAGATTTCAGCCTTGAATACAGGGAAGGATTATTGCTCAAACAAAAGGGTCTTACTTCTTGGGGGAAGTTCTGCTGAAGGTGTTGGCAATGTGATCTAATCCCCGCCCCCCCCACCGCCTTCTGTTACAGGTCAATGGTGTGGACTTAACTGGGAAAACCCAAGAAGAAGTTGTTTCCCTGCTGAGAAGCACCAAGATGGGAGGGACAGTCAACCTTCTCATTTTACGCCAAGAAATATTCTATCCAAGGGAACTGGTGTGTATTTTATTTTACTTTTCAAAGTGGCAAAGTTATTTTAGATGGATATGAGCAAAATAGTCTGAAGGCCTGCTGTTAACACATGTGTGGCCGGGAATGGAGCCTCTATTATATTTCCCGTGTGAGAACTAATGCTTTGAAATCACAGGTGGTAGCAAATACAAATTATAAGCTGTTGCATAGACTTTGCTTCAGTGCCCACAGACAACTGGATTATTCTATGTCTTTTACACTTGTGTGTCCCTGTTGGAAAGCTTGCTGTTTGTCATGCTTTCTCTCTCCCTTTCTCTCAGACCATTTTACATTAATTCAAAGCAGGATGTGAAAATATAGTTTTAGAAAAGAGGAACTTGTATTGGCAAAAAAGTTGTTTTTAATACAACAGTTATATCCCCAGGAGGCAGAGAAACCCCACTGTTGTTAATTTAGCAAGGTGATTCACATAATGCCTTTTGTATAATTTAACTGAAATGAAAAGTACCACTGTACGTAGACTAACTGTTCCACAGAACGGGCACTAATGGTGTCACAATAATTGTCTATGGCAAAGTATTTTTGTTTGTTTCTTTTATTAAGAACAGTGAGATAGATACAGATGTTGTTGAGTACTTAAACCTCCTGGGCCTGACTGACCATTATGCCAGATCTATGTACTCCAAGGCTTTGAACAATGATGCAACTAAAGTTCATATTCTTGGGGATTTGGACTTCTTCCTTTCTTAATTCATTTCTGTATAACAAATCATCTAATATTTTCCTTCAGAAATTCTTCTTAAGACCAGAACAGAAGCCAGCTGCTTTCATGTCTCACTGGTGCCTTGGATAACAGGAGCAGCTGGTAGATCTATTGCTATGGGGGTACAAAATTTATTTTTGATTTTATTACCACTCCTTTGAGTTGTGCACGAACTCTCCCTGTGTTTGAACTGATCCCTTTTGAGATTTGGTATCCATCTGCAGAAGATGCTGTAGTGAAATCAAGAGTGGATTTGCTGCCCACTCGGCAATGGATCTGCTGCCTGCTCTGGTTGCAACTAGAGCTGTAAATCATTGCTTGGTATGGAGGGGACCAAATTTCAGAATTGGGATGTGGATATTCTGCTTTAGTGTTTGTTGAAAAGAGAGGAACTCCTCAGTTCTACTTATGATGTTTTAGGCAAGATTTAGACAAGATCAAACTAGGGACATTTGGGCTGTTAAAATTTTGCTTTCTGTTATGATTTGATGTCAAGTGAAAATAGTGCTGGTTTCTCAAAATGAGGGGTCGGGAGTGGAGTAGAAATGCAGCAGCATCACCTTTATGGCCAAATGTTTGGAAGAGGGAAATTGACTTTTGGTAAGTAAATTTATTGCTTTCACGCAGCAACACTATATGGTCATGGTAAAATATTGGAAGGACTTATATCACCTTATACATTAAACTTTCTGGATCCTATTACATTCTGTCCCACTGCCACAACTGTATGCATGTACTTTATACCTGATTCCTTAGTATCACTTGCTACTGCATCTGGGGTTATATCTGTGAAAGCTAATGCTAAAATAAAACCAGTTAGCCATAAAGGTGATGCCACATTTCTTGTTTTTCCTCTCCCTGTCTTTTTCCTTTTTATTCTGCAAGAGCTGAGCATAGCTACTTCTTCAAAAATAGAATGTATATCTGGTATGTGTGCTAATATATATGCATAGTATTGTCACATAACACCTATCAGTGCTCGCCGGAGTCAAAAGAAAAGGATGATCCCCATCTTTAGAAATACGAAAACTAGTTGCCTTAGCCAAAACATAGGTTTATGAAGGATACAATTGAAGTCAAAAGAAAACAACATCATAAATAACCCACTTTGATCTCTAAGCAAACCTTGATGTTTTATGTTTTTAAAGTAGTTGGATATTTGGCTTAAAAATCAATTAAAAAAAACAAGTGAATACTAATTATGTAGTAACATGGTGGCTGTGAGACTGACTGAAAATCTGATTTGCCTGTTCAGTGTGCCATTTAAACAACTATTGAGAATACTGGTCATATAAAAAATATCAAGTACACAAGATGCTTACCATAATGGATGCTCCTCAGATGGAACAATTTATCCAGTGTTCCCTAGTGAGTCTCACTAGTTTCAGAATATGTTGCTGTGTATTGTAAGAAGTCACCATGTAAAATAGGTAGAACCATGTGTTATTGAATGGTGCTGACCTTTTATGTTATTTTTTTAGTCACAAAGCGATTTTATTCAAATGTGTGTCAGTTAATTGACCGTAATTGTTATAGTATTCAGCATAAACTGAACATTGACTAACTGATTTTTAATTATGATTTTATCCATAAAGGCTAGTTAATTAACCTGGGTGATAACCTCTTATGGGCAAGTCTTAAATTTGCAGGCTTATCAGTGATAAAACTTTATTTGTTATGACAGCAAAACTTTGCATTAAAAATTAACAACATAGCAGCCATATGTAATGTAAATAGCTAATAAAGAATAAAAGAGCAAAGTGGTTTTCATGACCTAGGATTTTCATTATCATTCACAAGCATCTATCACTTTTTCCTGCTAGTGTAGAGAACCAATAAAATAACAATTCCTTCTCTTGCCTAAATTATATAATAAGTCATTAATAGGGAAAATTATCCGTGGAATATCTCCTCAATTAAATCTCGTAAGATCTTTTTTCAATGTAAGAATTGGACTCTGAATGTAAAGAGCGATTTCTTTTTGTCCTTTTTCTTCTTTTCTTTTCTTTTCTTTTCTTTTCTTTTCTTTTCTTTTCTTTTCTTTTCTTTCTTATGTGGTATTTTCTACATCTAGCCAAAAAAGATGTATTTGGGAAGCTGAAATTGTAGCTTATAGTGATGTCAACATGCTAATTAATTTCATTGTAATTTATTCTGAAACATGGTTTCATGTCCTTCAGGCATACACTTTAAGTATCTCACACTCTAAAACAATATAATATATTTTAATATCAGTGCAATAATGACGTTTAAAAAACTACAGTTGCTAGCAAATAGAAGCCATTGTAAAGTGACTGAAATAAGGTGCTGAAGCAAATGTAGGTTGAGTATCTGAAATTCTAAAATCCAGAATCATCCACATGATTGTGTTAGATAGTGGAACTTTTGCTTTCTGGTGGTCTAGTGTACAAAAACATTGTGTCATACACAAAATTATTACAAATATTGTGTACAAAATTACCCTCAAGCTCTGTGTATAAGGAGTATATGAAACAAATGAATTCTGTGCTTATGCTTGGGTCCCATCCCCAAAATATTTAATTAAGTATATGGAAATATGGGTATTCTAGAATCCCATAATTATCCAATATTCAAAACACTTGTTTCCAAATATTTTGGATAAGGGATAACCAACCTCTGTTGTCTATCTTCTGAAAACATGCAGAGAAGGTTCTAGGCAAGCTCATTTTACAATATGGAACAATCCTATATTATCGAAGGCTTTCATGGTCGGAATCACTGGGTTGTTGTAGGTTTTTTCGGGCTATGTGCCTGAAAAAACCTACAACAACCCACTCCTATATTATGTTATTCCCCTAACTCTCCTACTGATCTGTCCTTTTAATGGAAGGAATTACAGACATGGTTTGATCTTGGGCTCGTCCATTTTTTTTGCTGTATAATGCAGAGAAGAATGTGGTAGCCTCCCTCCATTTTCTTTACAGAAAGCATTTGGACTCATAGCTCACTGCCAATAAGGCAATGACACCTGCCAATCCTTGGGGTGCTCAGGTCACACTGAGAAAGTTCAGGGGGATTAGGGGGAACAGTTTGTGGGCTGCCATTTCTGCTTTACAACTCTGTTGCCCAGAGTAATTGCACACCCTTCATTCCATCTAATGACTTTCAGGAGTGGGAAGGCTCATATATGTCATATGACACAATCCGACATTCTGTTTCATACAGAGTTGTATTGTATATAATGAAAGTCTTACATTTTTTGATCAGTAATAGTTGAAAGATGTTTTTGCACACTGAAGCTCCATTCTTATTGGAAAATATGGATACAAATTGTGTGCCTGACACAAGGATGATTCCAGTCTGATGAGAGTTAATAAACACAACCAAATTTCCAGGACCAGTTTTTGATTGCTGCAGTTGTCTAAAGTTTTCCTTTACTTCATAATCCTTTTGCCAACATGCGGCTGTATTCATTTCAGCCCAAGTGGCCAATATTTTGAAAGAGGTCATGAGAAAGCAGCACAATTTTGCTTAAGATTGAGGATTAGGAGATGATTGGCGAGTTTCACTGTATATGTTTTGTTGTGCCAAAAATGAAATCTCTTCTTCCCCCTTTTTATTTAAGGGAATAAAGATTTCTTGGCTCTGTTTTCTGTCTTTGTCAACTGCTGTGGTTCTAGCAAGTAATTCCCCCTTGACAAGCACTAGTTGCCTTTGTCTGCATGTGGGAGATCAATTAAAACTGCCTGTCTCATAGGAGAGGTGTTGTGTTTGGTCTGGTTGGCAATAAATGTAAAATGTATATTATGTCTATACATGCCATTGAAAGTAAGTGATAAAAATTTATGGAAAGATGCTTTTGTTTGCTGTTAACTTTGCTCAGTTAGTATCCAGGACATACACCTTAAAAAGGAATAAAATTGACCCAAGAAGATTTAATACAAAAATAAGAAATTACATCAGAGCATGTTTTTCTTGAATTAACTGATACTATGCAAGCACATAAAATATAATTCCAAATGAAGTGTGGAATGCAAAAAAAAAAAAAAAAAGGGGGGGGGGGAGTTAGTTAGTAACATTACAATGGTATCCAAAATAAAAAAGAGTGATGAAATAGCACAAATACAAAAGTCATTCTTTCCATCATCCCAGGATGATCCACTCCAAAGAATTGCCATTGAAGGGTGTCCATGTATCATCCAAGTCATACTGTCCTGTCAACACATTTCTCAGGTGCGTCAGGTTGAATAACAACACTTGAATGAAATTTAAAATCCCCCTTCCCTTGAAAAATATGAAGTAGGCAAACAAGAAAGAATTAAAAGCTCCATCTAGGATCCTGTCCAGCTCTTTCAATAGTTCAAAATCTAAAACAAAATTTGAAGTATTGAATACTTGAAGTTATGAAGCTGTAAATCAGAACAAAGTCCAAACAGAGAAGTCAGTGAGTAAACCAAGGGTCATAAATCCAAGATATTCAGCAACAGCTTCTGGTGGTCATAAGGAGAACTGGAGTTCTCTCCTCCACCTCCATTTTCCTGAATATCTGCTATAAGTGTTCTTCATTTGAACTTTCCAGGGTGTGGGACATGGTAGGCGTGATCCTCAACCATTTCAGTTCTCTCTCTCTTCTCTCCAAACAACATTTTAAAGGAGGAATTTCTTCACCAGAATGCTCTCTGAGACAGTCAACACTACTATCCTCCAACAACCCCCCTCCAAGGATTTCATGTTTCCTTCCCAAAGCCTAGTAATGATGGATCAAAAGAGACAATGATTTCCTTTTGATCATGATTTTCCATTTTTTATTAATATTGTAGTGTGCTGGCTTTAGGCCCAGGGAAATGATGTCTGTCTGGAGGTCTCTTGGAGTGGATATCGGACTGGAGGCCCATTTCTCTCTCTCTCTCTGTGCTTATGGAAAACCATTTGTAATAATTTGTTGAAGACTGAGCACAGCCAGAATTTCCTCAATTGCAGCCATAGTAAGAAGTATTGCACAGGCCCCTCAGACCCTTACATTCAAGGACAGGGAACTTCACCTTACCATTCCCTTGGTATTACAACTGTCTGCAACCTTCTTAAAATAGTCTGTTTCCTCTCTCTTCTGTAGTGTCTGGATCTTCATTAGAGTGACAGGTCTTCACAGCATCCTTCCCCTTTCAGCAATATGTATATTCTTTTGGTAGTTGTGTAAGATCTTAAAGGCCCTGATGGTAGTGGTCAGTGTGATGAAAGAATGACCTCCATTTCTTCTGTAACCATATCAGTTGTTATAATGCTTACAGATAATTTGTTGAAAAAGTGCATACAAAATGTGTATATTTCTAATGTGAATGGCTAAATTGGCCATAATTGAGAAAAATGTGGAGAAATATATTTTAATCCAAGAGGAAACATTCAGAAATTTAGTGAATTGTACCAATGGATAGGAAAAATATGTGAAATACATTTCTGCAAATGTCAGCACTGGATGGAAACATAGTCTCACAACCCAAGATGAAATGAGAACAGTAGGAAAATGCTTAACCTGCATTCATTTGTTTAGTCGTACAAAGTGTCACTTGTGGGTCTTGGATCTTTTTATTATGGTTTTGGTGGTGATGTAGCCTGCTTTGCTGGTAGAAGATTTCTCATTAGGGAGGATAACAACTTCTGCCGTTCTTGCTTTTGCACTCCATTTGAATATCAAATCACTTGCTTGTCTTCCTCTTTCTCAGAGGAAGAGATTTCAAATGCCTTTTAAAAAGCTTTGTTCTTATTTTAATTTTTTCCCCCTCACTTCTTTTAGAATACTGAACAAACCCAGTCACAAATACCAAAGGAAACGGTAAGAGTTTTGTCTTTGGCATGTCAACAGTGGTGGTGGTTTTTGAATGTTGCATTATTCCATCAAAGGAGGTTTTTCAGCATATAATTCCATTCATGATAGATGCTGTAGGGGGCTCTCTCCAGCTTTAAATTGCATCTCGTGTTATTCTTTACACTTATTTCAGATTGGTGTGTGCATGTGTCTTCAAGTCACTTGGCATACTTTACCTTATAGGGAGAGTGATAGTTTTCTGCTTGTAATTGGAGCACACTTTGATTAAGACACAAACAAACTGGTTTTACGAAAAAGAAAGTGATTTAGTTCCCAGAAACTGAGCTAGTTAAAACTTTCAGACAACAGCAAAATGCTCCAAAATGAACCACTCCCCAAAATTTGAACTGTCATATCTTATTACAGCCTTAAAAATCAACTTTAGTGTTGCTTCAGAAGAAATATTGGATTTACTCCAGAGTAGCAGATTCTACATTCAAGTACTGTACATATTTCAGATGGAGGAACATCATACATTATTTATTATATGAGCAACTCAAAGCATGAAGATTTTTTGTTTATTTAGTCTTTACAGTTCTGTACATGTTCTCCTTATTTTACATTGTATTTTTATAATGCTATTTTAAAAAGTCCTGCAATGCAAGCATTTCCTGTCCAGGTTAAATCAGTATTCCAAAGGATCTCCTTATAGGGACATCTCTTGTACAATGGCAGCTTTTCAGGGGATTTAAAGCAAATCTATCTGACCATAAATCAGCATTTTCTCATTCCTTTGCAAGGTTTCTTCAAGATTTTTTTAAAGAAGGGTGTTTTAGAGAGGAAAAAGGTTGGACCAAGACATTTTGTTGGATGGTGTGAAGCATGTGAAGTTCTCAGAATGTGTGGTACTCAAGTAATCAGGTTATTTTGATCCCTGAGTTAAAAATCTTATGTGCACCTCTTTTCCTTTCCAGTAAATATATAACAGTAAAGAACGAAATAGCCAATATTTATGTATAATTTCATAAAAACCCACATCAGGCAGTTATCTCATTCTGCCTAACGGTAGGACCAAATGTGCTACACAATCTGTTTTTATCTTACTAAACATAAGTTTCCGTATCACATTCTGTTGAGTAGTTACTATAGTGGCATGATAAAATGAGAGGGCCCACATTTGGGTGTAACGGAAGATTAATGATATGCTCAAGAGCAGGCATGAGCAAACTTCGTCCCTCCAGGTGTTTTGGACTTTAACTCCCGCAATTTCCAACAGCCAGTAGGCGCTTAGGTATTGTGGAAGTTGGTCTGAAACACCTGGAGGGCCAAAGTTTGCCCATGCCTTCTCAAGACTGTTTGATCAAGACAGACTGAAACCCATGTGATACAGATTCTGATAAGCTTGTTTGTTTTGCCTATTTAAGCCAAACCTTTCTAAAATTATTCAGAAGTCTAGATGTTGTGCTTGTTCTCTTACCATCTTGTGGCAGGGAAATAGTAGGTATTCCCTGTGCTTTTCAGGTGAGCCAACTGCTAACAATCTGCCAAACAATCTAAACAACAACATGAATATATTATTACAAGCTGGATCACATATTTTTCAGTACACTGCTTGGAGATTGAAAATATATATGTATGGCAGTTTTTGTATGACATGAATATTAGTGGCGGAGAGCATAGGTGTATTTCTTTTTGATTCTGCCTTGCTTCTTAATATCTTTTGCATATCTTTTTTTTCCAGCAGGAAATCAATAGCTTGAACTTCATTTTGAGTGTTCTGCATTTTTACTTGGCTGCCTTTCTCCCTTCCACTTGGTTCTGCATCATTCCCCTTCTGGCTTTTCTAGCTCTTGTCAGATCCTTCACCTACTCTTTCTGATTCTGTGTTTTATTTTATTTTATTGTTCTTGCTGTTGTTGTTTGGTAACAAGCTTTCTGGTCTCTCTTGTGCTGTTAGTAGTGAATTCAGCGCGAGTTGCTGTCATGAGTTTGACAGCAGAAGAAAGCTTAGTGAAGATAGTAGCAATAAGGATGCTGGGAGAATCACAGGAGATTGGCGAATCACTAAAACAAAATTAGGTTCTTCCAACTTTGAAGCACAGGCCATCACAAATATTTGCAGTGTGAGATAAAAGTGCCTTTTGTTAGGAACTCTAAATGGTTCTCTAAAAGAAAAAAATCCCAGTGTAATTTTACTTTGAACTTTTTCAAGGCTATCAATATCTCCACCATGTAAGAATTCTTACTTGCTTTATTGTAGTGAGGGACATTTTCTTCAGCATTGCACGAAGTCATGATTTTGCTAGGACTCTATCATCATTTGGCTTATGTGAGTCTTTGTTGAGTGATGACAGCATGGCTATTCAGGATGAATTTTGAACAGTGACTATGACATCAGTGCAGTAGTGGCAGTAATAGTAAGCAACTCCTTTCATTTCCTCCCACCTTCTGAATATTCAAAAAGTTATGTTTCTCTCTCCCTCTTTCCCTTCCTGTGTGTTTCATCCACACAAGTGATGATGATGATCCGATATTATTATTACATGATACGAGGATTTAAAGATCGCACTGCAAAGACTCAGGCACAAGCCAGTAAAGGTGGTCCCAGTGGTGATCAGCACTCTGGGTGCAGTGCCTAAAGACCTTGGCCAGCACTTGAAAATAATCTGCACTGACAAAATTATTATCTGTCAGCTGCAAAAGGCCACCCTACTTGGATCTGCATGCATTATTCACCGATACATCACACAGTCCTAAACACTTGGGAAGTGTCGGACGTGTGATCCAATATAAAAGCCAGCATAGTGATCTTGTTTGCTGTGTACTAATCTTGTTGTGTATCTAATACTAATAATAAATAATCCAGCATGTAGATCTTGTTTACTGTGACATACTGTGGTTTTGTGTAAGTAAAATAATAATAATAATAATAACAACAATAATAATTTATTTATTTCTTACCGCTTCTCCTCATGGCTTGAGGCGGACTACAGAATAATTAAAACATATAAAAATGCAAAACACTAGAAATGCATATATTAAAATGTATTTATATAAAAGCTACATATTTAAATACACAAAATAGAGATTAAACAAAGTCAATGCATTAAAAATTTATACTTAAAGACTGTCTGGACAGGCCTGCCAGAAGAGATAGGTTTTTACATGGTTTTAAAATTTCCAGAGCTCATTTAGCTGTCAGAGTTCTTCCAGCAGGTTGTTCCACAGTCTTGGGGCAGCCAATGAAAAGGTCCTCTGAGTGGTGGTTGCCAGTCGGGTTCTGGCAGGCTGGAGCAGATGTCCCCCAGAGGACCTCAGTGTGTGGGGAGGATTGTACAGGAGAAGGAGATTTTTTAAGTAACCTGGACTCAAACCATGTAAAGATCAAAACCACTTTGTACTTTCCCTGGAAACTAATTGGCAGTTAGTGGAGTGACTTTAGGATAGGTAAAATATGCTCACTCCTAGATGTTCCTGTAACCAATCTGGCTGCTGTATTTTGAACCAGGTGTGAAGCTGAATCACACTAAGTGTGGGTGATTTCAAGATACCACTGAAGGCCAGTTCGTCAGGTGCAGCTCAGGAGTTCATGGTATCCATGACAAACATGGGCCTATCCCTGTTAGTGTCTGGACAATGTGTTCAGCAGGTCATACCCTTTAAGCAATTTTCAAATTGGTCAGAGCTAGTATCACAGCTACAACCTACCCCTGCAAGGATGGAGGACCTATTAAAATGGTCCGCCCTCGAAGGCTAATGGATCCTCTGAGATTCCAGTAGGCCTTAGAGGTTTCTGTGGCTGATATCACCAACAATCCTGTTGAATCCCTGTTCAGTAAGTGAAATCAAAAATCTAACCAGGGCTATTGACACAATCACTTCCAAATGTCCTCTCTGACCCATGACAGAACAGGCTCCCTGGTATACAGAGAACCTTAAAGAAATGAAACAGGAAGGACAATGAACAGAGAGCAGATGATGGAAAACTCAACTTTTATGTGACAATACATGCAATTAAGAAAGCTTTCCTTTCTGCAAGCTTTGTGTTTGCAGATTCACATCCAGCTGAACTGTTCAGAGTGGTGAGAGGCTTAACCCAGGTGCCCTCTCAAACCCATTGCTAGAACCTTTAGTACCTCACTGTGATGCTTTTAACAACCATTTTGCAGATAAAATCTCACACATAAGAGCTGGCTTAGACACTGTAACTGGCATCCAGCAACTCTGTAAGTGGGATTACACTGGATCAGTTTTAATTATTGAGTGGCAGGCTGGCAGGGTGACTGGAAGGTGGGATAGGTATTAAACACCTTTGTCTTCTTCATGTGACCCTGCAATTGCCATATCTCTCTCTGCCCTAAACAACTTGTATTGCTACCCCAGTTTCTGTATACATTGAATTAAAAGCAACAATACAGGGACAAACAAACAACTCAAAGCAAAAAAGGAAACAACAAAAACAAATTATAAGACATTTGATACAACAATACTTAACACACCGTCAATGAGTGTATTCTCTGTCAATCAGACCGATTAGCTGGCTAGTCCAGCAGAACCCTACTCCCACCAAGGGACTACCTTGTAGCCAGCTAGATGATTCTGGATAGCTCTCTCATTGCTACCCAGTCCTTTAGCTGGCCCTCTTGCCACCAGATGGTGTAACAGTCCCAGAATGACCAGTATCCCCTCAACGAGCTTATTTCTATAAATACAACATATAACATTAAACTAGATGAAATCCTCCCATTCCTTGTGAACTCAAATCTACAGTTGCTCCCTCTTTGGAGGTTCCTGAGCCACACCAAGCTGGAATGGGTCTGAGCCTCCATCTCCTCACAAGTAGTCCAGAAATCAACAAAGCTGGATGAAAATGTTTCAGGTCTCTTATGGAGAAGCAGTACCAGAGTCAAGTGATGCTGTTACATTGAATGGATTTTTGAAATAAATCAATAGTGAATGGCTTCACCTTCTGCAGCAAAAGCTACAGCCATTCCACTGCAGAGTAGAAGTACCAAGAGACCTCATTT